AATAGAAGCAAATTTCATAATATGAAAGGCTTTTTAAGGAGTTTAACATAAAACAACTCCATCTTAGCTAAGAGATAATTTAGAGGGGAAAGTCTCACAGTATATTATGTCACATATGATAAATCACACTAAGAATAAATGATAAACATAAGCAATTATTAACTGGAAAAAAATTAAACTAGCTACAGGGACTTTCTACATGATCTCAACTACCAAAACGTTCATTACAGACACACAAACATTCCTCCTTCTGTTAGCAACTAGTTAATTAAAAAAAAAAAAGCCTGAATATCCCAGATAACTCACTGAATTTGGGAGAACTTTGGGACTTTTATCTTTTTCTCTTTTTCCAGCTGGGATCCAGGGGAGAACAAACAGTACCTGTGCCTACGAGGATGAAACACCCACTGTTAAGGACAGAACAAAGACAGTAGGCTGAAGTTGTTCGGATTCCTGAGTAGCTTTAGGAAACAGCCTGCAGTGCACACCCTAGACTTTCAATTTTATGAGAAAAAATGAACCCCTATCTGATAAAGCCAGGCCTAGATTTTTCATGTAAGTAGCCTGGTACAATTCCTGTTGGTATAACTGTCTAATCAAATGTTGTATTTGTAGTTACACAAGTTGGTAATTTCCCAATATTGCTGACACCATTTTGAGCTGAATTTCTACTTCCTGCAAACAAGAACATCCTAAGCTGATGGAACCTTCCTTCCAAGGAAGCGGCAGCACCTCTGATCGAAAGTTCCTGAAAGGATGGATCACAGACTTGTGTATCTTGCTGCCTGACTGATATGTAGGAAAATTTTTCCAAAGTAAAGATATTACCTTGCTTTCATAAAGCTACTCAACTGATAAAGCAGAGCAGTGAAGAAATGCCATGTTCTTATGAACAATTTTTTAAAAATATTTATTTATTACTATTGTAAACTCAGATATACAGGGAGGAGGAGAGACAGAGAGGAAAATCTTCCATCCGATGATTCACTCCCCAAGCAGCCGCAATGGCTGGAGTTGAGCCAATCTGAAGCCAGGAGCCAGGAGCTTCTTCCTGGTCTCCCACACGGGTACAGGTTCCCAAAGCTTTGGGCCGTCCTCGACTGCTTTCCCAGGCCACAAGCACCGGAGCTGATGGGAAGCAGGGCTGCCGGGATTAGAACCAGCACCCATATGGGATCCCAGTGCGTTCAAGGTGAGGACTTTAACCACTACGTCATCGCACCAGGCCCATGAACAACCTTTTTAAACATACGTTTCATATACTTAGTGATGTCTTCAGTTTTCTATCACTGAGTCTTCAAACTTTGCTGCAACTGCTCTCTTTCTACTTTTTATACTACAGTATGGGGACAAGAGTCAAAGAGCTGTGGCCAACCCACATAGATTTAAACCTTAGCTTTACTACTCCTTGCTTACATAAAGTTATGCAACTTAATGAATTTCTCCCAGTTGTTGTTTCCTCAAGTATACAGTAGGAATAACAATACTACTACTCTTATAAGGGTTTTGTAAGACTTAACTAAGACAGTATGTGCTAATATACTTCACATAGCTCCAACATATACTTGTTTACTAGATGTCACCTATTTCAGTATTACACCATCAGAGGCATCCCTCCTCTTACGTTAATGCTCTGGGTCCCATCCCACTCCTACTCCTCGGGGATTTTTAACAGAAAAGCTTAAAGGAATTTAATGTGAAGCAGACACAGAGAGCTTAAGCAGTAAAGTATAACTACCAGGGCTAGTGTTGTGGTGTTGTGGGTTAAGCTGCCACTTGCAATACCAGCCTCTCAGATTGTAGTGCCAGTTGTAATCCTGACTACTCCATTTGCAACCCAGCTTCCTGCTAATGCTTCTAGGAAAACAATAGCAGATGGCCCAAATACTTGGGCTCCTGATACCCACACTGAGACCCAGATGGAGTGCTGGGCTCCTGGCTTCCAGCTGAAGCCATGTGGAGAGTGAACCAGCAAATGGAACATCAATCTCTCGCTCCCTCTTTTTCTCTGAATTATCTGCTTATAACTAACGGAAATATATAAATGTTAGTAACAATTCACACTTTATTTTCCAAATTATGATTAAGTAATTAAGTAATGTTTATGATTAAGTAATTCACAAGCTTTTAAAATACATGTTTATTAGTGATGACAACGTCCCTTCTTTCGTATATGTTTAATCCATTTGAAAAAACTTGTGAGCAGTAATGGATTTAGACTTAGATAGATCTAAATTTTTCTCTGATTAAAGGTAGACAGAGGAAAAACAACCTCCATTTTAGTATTCTAAACAAAGTGTGATTAGGCTTTTCCTGTTCTGGCTCCGTCCTGTATTAGCTGACAGGACTCAATTTTAAAAAAACATGTATATGTTTTTAAATAAAGAATTAAACTGAGCCACCTTAAGGTCCTTCTTAATTTTGATAAAATGTTCCTTTGAAAGCCCACGATATTCTTTTATGATGATGATGATGTTTATGCACTAAGCAGAAACTAGAAGAAAATATAAATGTATTATTCACAAAATAATTTCAAATTTTCCTCCATTTTCTCCTTCTCAAGGGAGTGTGGTATTATTATGAAGTTAAAGTAATACTGATTACAAAAAGTAAATGCACAAATGGTTATAATAAGCCTTACAATTATTCTATAAATCCTTAACTCAGGCTTGCTCTGTCAAAACGATGACATCTTTGGTTAACTATCAGCAGTTTTACCAGTTTAACTGGTAAATATTAAAGTAAACCCACACTATTTTCATACTACCAAACCTAAGCAGCCTTCGCGTCGCTGCCCAGGCACCAGGCACACATACTGCAGAATCTGACACTATCGCCTTCATATAAAGAAGGCCCCGAGCCCGGAGAGGCAAATACTGCCATTAGTGTTTTAATTACACGCTACCTGAATTTCACCTAAATACAGCTGCGTCACAAACAACCTCCCAAAATATGTAAGTGTACCCAATACTTTCTTCATGTATCACTGCATAATATCTCAGGCTCTGCCTTATTCAATTATTTTCTAGTTTTCCCTTATGCTGCTACCACTTGATAAACGAGTCAATAGATGCCAAGTCAAATATACAAGTAAATACATTTTCATTGTTATTGGCAGACATATAATTAACTCTGAAAATAAAATATACAAAAAAATCAATTTATGATTACTTCTACCATTCTTCCCATTAGTCATTTACATTATAATTGTGGTTCCACTTTAAAAATCTTTAAACACACACACATTCCATCTTGACTCTAATTATAAATCAAATTATTTCAATTATTAATTAGTATTATATGAACTCTGAACCTCATATGCTAATTTTGTTAGTAAGATACAAGTGCATTATTAACTACATATATGAGTTGATTAAAAAGTAATGCACATTTATAAACCTATATTAATTAGTAATTCAACAAATGTTTCTAAACAGTGTTAGGGCTTTGCTCTGTCATCTAATACAAACAATTGAATCAATATTTTCTTTATGTATATGAGTATATCAACAAATTACACTTCTATTTTCAGGCAAAACAGACTGCTAACAAAGAACACATTATAAAGAATAAACCTATTTTTTAACAAAGAAAATATTACAAAGAGTAAACCTTTTCTTTTAAATGACATTTATTATCTGTCAGGTCAATATCATCACCAATCCAGGAGAATGCACTTTATATAAAAGCTTACATAAGTGACCTTTTAGAAGTATTTCCCTAGATGCAAAGCTTCAGATAAATGTGAATTTCATGAAGAAAAAAGTTTAAGCTCAGAAAATCTGTTTTAATAAAATGTTTTGTCATTACTCAATTGTTACTTTCATTATAGTAGTTTAATTGTTTTTAAATTATACTCATGAACAAGTCACTTAACCTCTGTCTCCTCACTTATAAAAAGGAAGGAAATAAGGATGGCGCACACGCACCAAGTTCCTGTTAAGATGAAAGGAGTTAACAAAAGAAGCTCTAACAGGCCCAGCACGGAAGTGCTCACCACTTTCAGCACTGCATGACTTAGTGATACTTACTGTACCTATTACCTGCTACATGAGCTTCTAATTATCAATTCATAAAGTTTCAATTCATTTTCGATAAAAAGGAAGCTATAGCCTGACAGTCTTACTTGAAAAAATTAGTACTTATTTGAAAAGCAAAGAGACGGCCGGGGTGGGAGGTGGGGGGGAGAAGGGAGAGAGAGAGAGATTCCCTCTACTGCTTCATTCCCCAGAAGCCCACAACAGTTAGGTCTGGGTCAGGCCAAGCCAGGAGGAGCAAATCCATCAGTCTCCCACACCGTGATGGGGTCAGTCACTTGGGTCCTCATCCCAGGCACACGAGCAGGAAGCCAGACCAGAAGATAAGCAGCAGGAACTCCCAGCTGTTACTCCAATATGGGATCTCAGATCAAGAGATAGTTCACTTACAGTCTGCAGTACTGGCCCCCATCCTGACATTCTTAATGTCTTCCCCATTACACCAGCTTCTAGAATTGTATTTCTCCTCCAAAATGACATCCTCCCTTGGAAAATCCTTTGAGAAATATCTGACTCCTTCCTCCACTTAAAATAACAGGATAACAGTACAAATGCTGCAGCAAAGAGAAAAGGCTGCTGCAAGAAGTATGTCCTGGTGGGGGAAAGACATATTCTTTCTAATGGAGAACTGAAGCAGGCAGAGACCATTCCATGCCCTTCTACCAACACAGCACACTTAAATTATTTATTCCTCAAAAAGTATACAGCACACCAACCCCTAATCGAACACTGTTCAACTGAACCCTTCTAGGGACACTGTGCTCTACGAAGACCTTAAGCATCCTACAAAACGGACAAAGAATCCATTACTTAAAATGCTTTCTTTAGGGCAAGCTCAGTGCAAACGGCAAGTGTCACTGGATTCGGATCTCTAAATATTACCAGGCGCCACAGACTCGTATTCATGGACATCACCGAGGGACAACTGGTTCAGCGATAACGAGTACGTTCCGCTAGCCATACCTTAGATTCCAACTTCATTTTCCCTTCGCTCAACTCCTCCGCTGCCTGCTTCATTCTTTCACGACATCTGGTTATGTCCGCCCTCACTGCAAGGAACATGAAATCCGCGTATCAGTCTAGTTTCACGTGCCACTTCCAAGACACCTCAGCGGCAGAGGACAACCCCACACCCTTATCACGGCCCAGTCGCCCAGGGCCCCCTAATGCACGCCCAGGGCCCCCAGTGCACACCCAGGGCCCTCAGTGCACGCCCAGGGCCCCCAGTGCATGCCCAGGCCCCCCAGTGCACACCCAGGGCCCCCAGTGCACACCCAGGCCCCCCAATGCACCCCAGGGCCCCCCACCTTCCCGCAGGGCGCGTCGGCTCTGTTCGGCCTGATGCTCGCTCGATAGAATGTGCTCGAACAAGGACTCCAAGCTCATCCTGGCCGGCTCCCGAAACCTCCCTGTCGTTTTCCTGGAAAACACAAGGAAGCTTTCCGGGGCTCCTCCCAGACAGGCCGTCCTCCAGCTCCCTGCCCACTGCGTGACCCGGGCCGGGGCCCACGCAGAGTGGAGAATCCACGGTCACCCCTTATCGCCCACACCACCCCTCCCCCCTCCGCATCTCGCTTTCCTTGCTTAAATGTACCAACCCGAGTTCCCAGTCTCCCCTTAGGCCCCGGAAAAGAGTCTGACACATCGCCTGAGGGGAAGCGCTCCGGAAGCTTGTTCTGACAGAAAAACATGGAGCACGGGCTTCTGAGGACCTGGGCAGAGCCCTCCCTACAGCCGGGCTCTTCCTCCCGGTCCCCACTCTTTTTAGGGCAAGTGTCCCCTCAAAGTGCTGTTTTCACAACAAAATCATACTTCGGTGACAAGGCTGAGAGACACCACGTCCCCTCGACAGACCCGCGCAAGGTCGGGCTTGCCACGTGATCCTCAGCGACGGCGGCCCACGAGGCTCAGTTCACTGCGGTTCGCTAAGGCCAAGCGCTCCCCTCACACCCACCCCTCCCGGTAAGGCACTGTTATCGGAGTTGGGGTGCTCCGGCTCCGGGTCAAGTGTTCTGAGCATTTAAAGTAAGAAGAACTCGTGATTCTAAATATAGACTTTTACAAAGTCTTATCCTTTGATAACGGCAAAGACGGCTATAAATGTACGATGTCTGACATTCCGCCTTAATCATCCCTTTGTAATCAAGGCACACCTTTTTTGTCTGCTTTACGATTAATCATTGCCTTTTGTAATCAAGCTGTGGTAATAGTAACACTTCAATATGTGTGCCGTGTGTCAGAGACCAAAGTGGTTGCTAATTAAACCTTCCACATGAAAGGCACCTTTGGGACGTCCGCATGGATCGTTTTTTTCTAATTTAAAAATAAAATATTTTTAATTTTACTGAGTCAAAATATTGATATTTTAATAAACATGTGAGGTTACTTCCGAATGTCAATCTGATATTGGTTAAACTTTAAAAAAAATAATTTCTACTTAGAATATATTTATAATTAAATAAAATAATGCAGCGCTGAATTTTATCACATCTTCTTTTATATGTAAAATAAGATAAATATAAATTATCACATCCAATAGGCTTAACTAGTACCTCCTTAATTCCATAGTGTAATTCATTTGTAAATTTCAACCCAGGTCAAATTTACACCTTAATTTCCGTTGTCATGGAGGTAGAAAACTTAACTGGTCTTATCTCTCTCTCTCTTTTCATTTTGTGAAAGAGAGAGAGAGAAAATGAAAGAGAGATCTTCCATCTGCTTGCTGGTTGACTTCCCAAAAGGCCACAACAGCTGGGACTGAGTCGAGAGCCAAGAAATTCCAGCTGGGTCTCCTTCCCTAGGCATGTTAGCAGGGAACTGGATGAGAGCTGCGTGAGACCAAACCAGGCATTCCAATATGGAATGAGGGCACAGCAAGCGGTGGCTTAACCTATGAGCAACAACCCCTACCGCATAAAACTTAGGTTTTTTTTGTTTTTGTTTTTGTTTTTTCAACATGATTATAAAAGAATACACACAGAAGACTAGTGCTGTGGCACATTAGAGTCAGCTGCCACTCATAACACCAGCATCTCATGTTGTAGCACAAGTCAGTCTTTTTATGATCTAGAAATGTGTCAATGTGCCTGGAAAAGTTGGGGGAAGTGGCTCCACTACCTGAGCCCCTGCCATCCCTGTGGGCTCGCTGGACAGAGTTCCAAACTCCTGGCTTTGGTCCCAGCTGGGTCACTGAGGAGTAAACAAAAAGATGAACGATTCTAACTCTCAACTCTCCTTCTGCCTTTCAAATAAATCCTTCAAAAACCTTTTAAAAAGGGAAGGGGCAGCCATGAGGTTTAGTCCTTCGGTGTCAGCATCCTATATGGGAAAGGGCTGGTGTTCTGACTCTCCATTTCTGATGTTGATGCTCCCTGTTCATGCTCTTGGAAAAGCAGAAGATGGACCAAGTCCTTGTTGGACACCTGCACCCATGTGGGAGATCTCCACGAAGCGCCTGGCTTTGGCCTGGCCCAACCCTAGAAAGTGCGGCCATTTGGGAAATAAACCAGTAGATAGAAGGTATTTTCTCTTTCTTTGTCTCTTTCTCTCTCCTGAAAACTTTGCCTTTCAAAATAAGGAAAATGAATCTTTTCTCAAAAAACTGAGCCTTTTTTTTAGTACTACATATTGAAAAGTGTAATGAAGCTGGAAAAAATTGCTCACGGGGACATCAGAAGCCAGTACCAGGGAAATGTTGGCTTTGCCTTCTAAGTAACCCTGCTTGCCTAGCATGTTTTCTTTGCAACTTGAATTTTTGTGAATAAGTCAAAATAATGACTTTTATTGTAATCATTATAGATTATTGTGTTTGATAGGTAACATTTGGGGTGTTATAGATGCTTATGATGACTTTTACTATTGCCTTCCTAGAATAAACCAGGAAGCTGAAGCACAAAGCAAGTGTCTTGTCACTGTTTCGTAGCTAGCACACAGCAGAGTGAGAACTGGAACCCAGAAAGCTGAGACCGGAAGCAGTGAGTTAATGCTGCAGTCTGCTCTTACTCCCTCACTACATCACCAATGTTTTACTTTTGCATTGTAAAAATCTTTGTAAATACCTTTTTACAACTTAGCAATTCTTCAGCATTCATATGCATATGTAAAATCTAGATAGAAATAAATTCGACTGTGTGTCCATTCAAGGATGGGAAACAAAGCTGGAGCTGACTTGAAGCTTTTTCTTCGAGCCCTTGCTTGGAGACTTACGAACTAAGCCATGAAGGCTATCAAAGGAAAAGGCTTCCAGGAGATCAATTATGTTACTAATTAATATGACTCCCTTCAGAATTGTCTCCCACAGACTTGCACAGGGAGCATCCTCACAAGGAGGTTGGTTTCAAAAGCATGCTGCTATTTAACATTCCCATTTTATTAGTTTCATCCAGACTCACATTTATTATTTAACATGTTCTTTGTGAAATGAAACTTGGCAGAGGGAAACTTGGGCAGCCTGTGGGGACCCCCGTGGCCTCACTCACACAGCAGCATGGAAAAGAAAGCTGCCGGAAGTGCAGGAAAGGGGCTGTGGGGAGAACTGGCTGCTTCATCTTCTGTACTCATCTTGTTCACACCCCAGATCAGTTTGGTACTTTCACAGTTCAAGTTAGAATCTCCTTAGATGTACTACTGCTATAGATACTGGCAGACTTTATGTCCTTTTTGCAGTTGTTGTGGAAGCAAACATGATTAAACCAGCCCGTAGTTCATATTTTAGGTTTTATCCTAATAAATAAAAGTAACATATTAAGATAGTAAAATGTTACTATCATATATCTGGCTGTATTCATACATTTTCTTGAGTGTTAAATTTTTTTTTCTTAACAGCTGTGTGTGCTGATGACATCCTATAATATTCAGAGCTAGAGTTGCATTACAGAAATTTATGCCAAATAAAAATGGTATACGACATGATAAAACACGGGCATATTGTTTTCTGAAAATGTATCTTATAGCTCTAAAGCAAGAATTGATTCACTCAACAACTGTTTAATGAGTTTCTGCTGTTCATTCAACATTCATTCAACAAATATTATTGAATATCTCTTATGTGCAACAACAAGATTTAATAAAAACAAAACTACGGAAAAAAACATTCTTCTTCCTCTGGATATTTCTAACCTCATTGGAGAATTATTGTATTTTTCAACATTTTGGCAGCAGAATAAACAACTGCTTTCAGATGTTTCAACAGATGTTCCTTAGATAGAAAGCCAATTATTTGCATTATGATACCCACATATGATTCTCAGATCTAAACTTTCCATCTGCACACATTTCATTGAATTACATACCTATGGAATATAAAAACTGAGATCATTCACTGTTTGTCAACCTCAGATTTTGTTCAAAATGACATCAGTACCTGGGTTATTGAGCCATCGATAATTGCTTTGCTAGAAGGCCTTATATAAGACTATATTGCTATTGTGATTTAAAATACATTTCATCCCCCTACTGAGATTGATGGCTTCCCTAAAATCTAAACCAGGCTTGCAAATACCCACTAGCCCAAGGCATACGCAATGGAAAGAAGAGTAATCCATTTATTTTATGTTTTACTCAGGGCATCTCCTACAAACAAAAAAATATGCAGCTTCAACCAAGTTTAACAACCCTGTACTAAGTATCTACTAAGTGTAAAATCCTCTTTTGGGTAGAACAGGGATACAAAGGTATAAACTTACAGGTCCTCACTCCCTAGAGATCATAATCTATCAAGTGAAACATAATATAAACAAATAGCTCCTAGGCAGGATGTGCGTTGTAGCATCATGGCAGAGGAAGAGAGAACAAGCTTGATGTAGGTGATTTAGCAATAGAGGAAAGAGCTTGAGTTGAGATTCGAGAGTAGAATGTCAGTAGGAAGAATATAAGGGGCAGGGGGCAACGCAGGAGGTTAGATGAAGACATCTGGATGGTGCTTAACATTTTCACAGATAACATGGGGAACCAGGAGATGTTGAGCTAGTGAGTGACATGTCAGAGCTGCTTTATGCAGTCAGCTCTAGTGATGGCTTAGAAGCACTGCAAAGGAAGAGAACAGCACTTAGTGTGTCTTTAACAACTTGAAGTCTTGTCTGCACTGCTATAACAAAATGCCATAAAGCTGGGAGGTTAGGAATAATGAATATGGTGTTTCTCATAGTTTTGGAGACTGGGGAGTGAAAAACAAAACAAATAGGAGGCATCAGATTCTGAGCTGGGTGAGGACCCTCTACAAGTTCACGGAGGCATCTTCGTGCTGCACCCTCACATGACGGATGGGGTGAGAACATGCATTCTGCCGTCAGTCCTGTAAGACACAATCCCACACATTCATGAGTGTCTTGCTTTGATACCGTAATCACAGCCCCAAAGCCTACCTCTTAATTGCATCACCTTAGGTG